CAAATCCTCCAGGCAGGAAACTAGGTATGTTAACAATAAAAAAGGAAAAGAAATTGGTAAATCATAATGTGATGCTGTCCTTGGTCCTTAAGAATAGGTCAAGTCGCCTCTTGAAGGACTCCTGGGAAGTCGCTTGGACTAGCTCGGCTGGCAGCGAATTCCAGCTTTTGACAACTCTTAAGGAGTAGAAGTTGTGTCTACATTCCGTCTTGCTATGTTGTGTTTCCAGTTTCTGGGTGTTACTCCTTAGGTTATTATTCGAACTAAGCTTAAGTAGGTGTTTAAGAGGATGTCCAGAAGTGTTAAGAATACTATAAGCCATTAGTAAATCACCTCTAAGACGCCTATATTCTAGTGGGTAAAGGTCTAGTGAACGGAGGCGTTCTTCGTAAGGCCTAGATTTGAGTCCTCGAACTGATTTCGTGGCTCGCCGTTGGATACGCTCCAAAGTGACCTTGTCCTTTTGGAGCGAGGGGGGGGAGTACTATGTTTCCGTACTCTAAATGGGGACGGATGAAACTATTTAAGATTGTATGGAAAGTTCGTCCGTCAAACTGTCCAAAAATGCGCTTCAACGTTACCAGTGCAAGGTTTGCTCGGAAGGCATTTTTGTCACAGTTAGCGTAAGACTTTAAGTCATGGGGCACCAGGACTCCTAAATCTTTTTCGACTTGGGATACTACTAGAGAGGAGTTTCCTAAATTGTAACTGTAGTTTGCGACATGTCGCAGATGGACTACTTTACACTTTGAAGTGTTAAAGGTAAGTCCGTTATCGTCTGCCCAACTTTGAAGTCGCGTCAGATCCTCCTGAAGTGCCTCTGTATCGTCTTGGTTGCGTATCTCTCTCCAAAGTCGTCGGCAAAAAGTGATAAGTCTGACGTTACCTGTTGAGGAAGATCATTTATGTAGATCAAGAAGAGAAGAGGCCCTAGTACTGAGCCCTGGGGGACCCCACTAGGACATTCCATAGCCTGAGATAAAGTGAAATTAACCCTAACCTTAAAGTGTCGATTTTTTAGGTATGAAGTAAGCCAATCGATTGGAGGTGGTTTGATACCTAGTCGTTTGAGCTTGTTGATAAGACACAAGTGGTTAACCTTATCAAAAGCTTTTGAGAAATCAAGGTAAATGACGTCAACCTTTCCCTCGCAATCGAGGATGCTTGTCCATTTGTCCACCGCAGTCAGCAGGTTGGTTATACAAGAGTAACCCTTCCTGAAACCATGCTGTCGGGGTGAGAAGAAATTTAATGACATTAAATAGTCATGTATACCATCGCACATCAGGGAATTCATGATTTTTGAAGTTACCGAGAGAAGAGCCACCGGTCGGTAACTTGAAAGTTTGCTGCGTCGACCTCCTTTGAAAATTGGTGTGATGTGAGCCAGCCTCCAAATTTCCGGTAGTTTGCCACGGCCTAGCGAGTGTGAGAACATCACGCCAGGATTGAGGCTGTTTCCCTCATTATGGCGGAGTGGACCATGTCCGGGTCAGGAGAAATGTCTAGTCTTAAGTGCTGCAGTTTCCGGAACGCCAAGTCAGCGCTTAGGTTCACTTTGGAAAGTCCTATGGAATCGCAGATGAAACTGTCATCAGTAAAGTTGATGTGGGTCGGTTGAAATGTCTAAGAGTAATGTTCAGCCAGAAGGTTAGCGGCGTCGCCATCGTTGATGGTCGGGCCGTTATAACCTAGCAGTTGGGAAACTCCAGGTTTAGCTTGACGAAGGGAGGCTGCATAACGGAATAAGCTTTTAGGATTGTAGGCAAATTTGTCCATAAGCTTTGTCTGGTACTGAAGCCTGTCATCTCTTATAGCCTTCGTGCATATGTTCCTTATATGTTTATATTACCTTTACGCTCCGTCGTTATCAGTTCGTTTGTATTCCGCCCAACAGTGCCTTTCGCTGCTTAGCAGGCGAAGGGTACGGTTCTTGATTATTGTAGGTAGCTTGAAGCTTTTGGGAACCGTTTGAGGAACTGAATGGTCTGTAGCACATAAGAGCGTGTGCAGTAAGAAGTCCCAATGACCATCCACATCGATTTGAGGGTGAACATCCCAAACCACCTGTTGTAGATAGTCATGTAGAGCTGGCACATTCAGCCGTTTAAAATTCCAACGCAAATTATTGTTGGGATACCTTAGCTTAGTTTTGATGACAAAACTGAAGGCTATGACGGCATGATCGCTTTTTCCCAGAGGAGCCAGGATTGAGAGTTTGTCGACTAGGAATTCTTCGTTAGTGAATACACAGTCTAAGCGTTATGGTGTCTGACTGTTTCTCCAACGAGTTGCCGACCTCACATTTTCATATAAGCCCAAGTTATCGATGAGGTTGAAGAACCGAGCTTCAGTTGTGTTGTCGCCTCCAGTGTACGTGTGTTCCGCGAAGTTGACTCTAGGGAGATTAAAGTCCCCTAGAATCAGGATGTGTGTGAAACCGAGACGGATAGAGCGGGATAGTCCTTCCAGCATACGACTATCGTACTCGGTGTCGGCAGTTGGCTTCCTGTAAATGACTCCGACTAGACACCTGGAAGTACTAGACAATCTTACAGAGCACCATATGGATTCCTCAAGATTGTTAAACTCGAGGTTGTGAACCTGGTGCACCCCCAAGCAAGAGCTTATGTATATGGCTACTCCGCCCCCAATTCCTGTTTTTCTGTCGTTGCGGAACAAAGTCATCCCAGGCAATGCTAACTCTTGGTCCGAGAACTGAGAAGATATCCAGGTTTCAGATATTCCTATCAGATGGGCCTTATTAGCGTTGCTAAGTTCACGTAGTTCATCCAGTTTGTTTGGTAGACTCGCGGCGTTCATATATAAGCAGTTTATGCTTTCAATTTGGAACGCGTGAGCTTCGTCCTGTTTTTCTGTATGAACCTTATGTGAATGGACAGGTAGCCCACCTATTTGAGGTTTGCCGAGGTGGTAGGCCCTGTCCTTTACACGTTTTTTTGTCGTTTAGACAGTCCACAAGTGGAATGGTCAGCTCCAACTTGCCTTTGTTCTTGGTCCTAACTTCATATGGCCTATCCGGGTGCATGTGGATTCCAGGTGGCAATCGACGTCTATTAGCACGAAATGCTTCCAGAACTGCAGCCGCCATGTGGAAAGATGGGAAGGTTATCTTCATTAGACGGGGTCTAGGATCACCATCCTTCTTGGTTAGTCTCGTCACATGCTGAGTCAGTATGTGTTTGAGCCTCAAGGACTGTTTGATGAATTTCCATTCCCTGATGTCAGAATTTGATTGAGTAGGGTCTGCATTTTCCGGTATACCTTGGACAATTATGTTTCTTCCGCGGAAAAACTTCTCGCGAGATTCTTTAGGGACGTTTCGTATGATACTGCGCTCAGAGTACGGTATGTCGGGCAGTATTCTTACGTTACCATCTGATTTCAGCAAGTGGCTTGCTAGCAAGACGTCCTCTACGTCGGTAGCATCCTTAAGTGTTACTCGGAGAAGCCTCGGGTGATTTTGATGCTTAGAATCCTTTCCTCGAGTGAGCCGGGTGACCGTCAAAGGCTCTATTCTAGGAAGTTCGAGCTTCTTGTTCAATTCACCCCAGAGCATCCTGTCGTTTTTGTCCTGCAGACTGAGAGGAAGATCAGGATTGTCAACGAGGTTCATGATAATGAGAGAATCGTCACGAACTTTTGTTAGTTTACCAGGTTTCACGATGGGTTCAGGTTTAATAACGTGTTGTTTGGAGGTCACTGTGCGTTTATGAATCATGGGCTCTTTATTGACCGGACGAACAGTCTTGGGGGTAGACTGTGCGACTAAATCACGAGTTATTTTCCGTGCAGCAACACTTGGGTTGCTTAGGTTAGGCGGTGATGCCTGGTTCTTTTGGGCTCTCTTAACGTGGGTCGAATCACCTGCAGGGTTTTTGGCAACCACTGTTGTGTTCGGGGACCCTGAGCTGGGAGACCCGAGTTTGCCTAGGGAGTTCAGTACCGTCGACGTAATGATGGTACTGAGCCTCGACACGTCGTCGTTAGTGTTGATGGATGCTCCATCGATGGAATACCTATCGATATCCCTGTTTTTGAGTCCGTTGCACGCTCTTGTTTGTATATCAGTTTTTTACTATCGTTTTCCAAGTTAACTGACAACTTGTTCCGAAGACCTGTCAGTAAGACAATGATGTTATTCAGCAAGACTACGGAGTCTGTGTTGCACGTGACACACACCCACTTTTGCTCTGACTTGCTGAGTCTGTTGTAAGCAGTTGCTGTCAGATCTGTGCATGCTTCGTGGAACCAACCTTTGCAGTTGTCGCACTGCATGCCAGTTGTGACAGCGAAACGGCATCCCGGACGTTTGCATGAGTTTTTCATTACGGTGTTGAAGCAAATTATGTTATAGATGCTTGCAAGAGCCTAAGACCTTTTAAAAAGACACTAAAAAGCACACTGAAAACGGACAAAAATGGACAAAACGAGTGATATAAACTGAAACTAGTCTATACGTGAAAAACAAAAAAAACCGAATAGTAAGCTGAGGCAAAACCACAGGTAACTATTAAATATAGTGAAACTAAAAAAAAGTAATCTACCGAATGTATAGCTCAGGATAGATTCTTTAGAACTGAAATGGTACTTTTGTTGCGTAAGAACACAGCAAAAGTTTGATAAATGCAAATCACGTTAGGACTAAACTTCCCGTTCGAAAAGCGCGGTCGTGAATCCATGTGAATCCGGGTATTTCAGAACTTTGGAAATCTGCAGCATGATGCATTTAACTTATGATTCACATTCAGATAAACAAAGCATATAAGCAGACCAGAGAAGGTAAACATGCCAAATCGCTACAATGCTCATTACAAGCGTCAGTACAGCAAAAAATAGATAGTCGGTAGCGCAGCAAAGCGACACACTAGAGGAAATAATAAGTGATAGACAAACATACACAAAGCACATAGATGGAGATACACAAGGTCGTAAAAATAAGGTGTGTGTATGTAATGGATACGATGTGCTATGAAAACAATAGTCATCGTGATGGTAAGAACGACGCGAAGTCAGATGCTGCTCGATTTATCAAGGTCTCTCTTTAAAAGCTATGATTAATCATTTAAGTGTGTATTAGCACTCGACTCTACAAGACCACACAAAGTACCGGTGTCATACAGGTTCACCAACAGAGTAATCAACTCAGTAATCAACTACTGGAAGAAATTATGTCCGTAATTTCAAATGATTCTTTCAAGATATCTCTAGCTACTCAGTGAAGTTGAACAGAAAAGGACTACCAAAAGCAGACGCCCTCTGTCCTTTGTGCACATATATGAACCTATCGTTACAGCGGGACAGTAAAGCTGAACGTTTAGGCAGTTAGTTAGAAGTTAATTGAGCTGGGAAAATACGCGCATCTCATCGGGGTATTTACTCCAACAGCAATTCCAGCCAACTGTTTAAGTTGTTTATCACACGATTCTTTAAAGAAAATGACTGATGGCAATGAGAAACTTAAACAAATGGAGGAGGAGATGGATAGGTATCCAATGTGAAACAGCTTAATTTGTTTTTGAATGTAGATTCGAGGCTGAAATTGCTCATCAGTCGTCAGGCAAGACACCAAATACCATTCCAATCTCTGGCGGATTTACATTCCCTCCTGTTACTAGCTTTATGCCTCCCCAGTTACGTGTTCATCAAAACCCGACCAACGTCGTGCAGCCAGTTTATTCGGGTAATCACAATTTTTAATATAAAGTGTTATTTGACAAAATTCCAACCATAAAATTAGTAGCAAAAGTAGAGTAATTTTTCATAGTGGCATTTTGCTGTACACGAAAGGGAATTTGTAACGTCCAGCAGCTTACAAGAGCAAGTCTTTGAAAACGCTTCATTCCAAATGAATGCATTATTTCACTGACTATGGACTGCCTAATTGGTAAATTTAACGAAAAAAGTGGCTATATACCTGTATCATTGTAGGTAACGGAAATAAATTTGATTGTCTTTTTACACAGCAACAAGAATAAAAGTCTGAATGAACTATTTCAACACATTTCGACGCCTGGTGATCTATTATAATAAATCAACGCGTTTAAATCCCTGGTGCATAAAAACCAGGAAGTTTATACAGGAAGTAAAAAACATGATGGCAAACATGTGCTACCAAGTTGAAAGCAGAAGATTCCTCTGGAAACTTCTAAACGTTACCCAATTTTTTTCAACACTTGCAGAAGCTTTATTTCATGTACTTAAACACACATTGGTACAAGGAGGCATCAAATACATATGCACCACACAAGTCACTCGACTTGTTCGCTCAGGATCCTAGAGCCCATGTCCACCATTGGTTTGGAACCATGGTTTTCTAACTCCCCTAGGTGGATCCCCCGTATCTACCAACCTGGTTAGAGCGTCGGACATTCGCTTTTTGTCCTCTCAATTTCGTAAACATTATCTTTGTCTTGAGAAGGAAGTGAGCAGTACTTCCTTGTTAGTGGTTGTATACGCGTGGCCATGTGAGAGCATCTCGAGAGGGATAGTTGACTCTAAGCACTCTCAGTCGTACCAGGGCATTTGGGAGAAGTCGTGTCTGGAGTAATCTGTGGGCTTAGTAACAAGTTTTTTTATCGTTTACTAAGCAAACCACCTAAAATAGTTCAGATTGCTTGCCAAACCAATAACTTTGACTTGTATTCTCCGTACTCTTGGTAGTATAATATTTAATTTTACTGTAGATGAATTTGTTGAATAAGTACTTATAATGAATGTTAGTCAGTTAAGCTATATATATATATATATATATATATATATATATATATATATATATATATATATATATATATAATGTTTCTAAAACCCAAATTAATATAAAGACCCAAAATAGTACGGTCAATTACTAAGGGAACAATAACAACGCCTACTGAACGTTAACAGGGACCCAACAAGATGAATCAATGACTGTTGGTGATTTTCGTAAAGAAAAGGTGAGATTCCATAATTGGTGGTTAATTAAAAGATAATAACCTGTCTGAGAATAAAAGTCTTGAATAATAGACATTTAACTTAGGTGTTATTGGTTGGTTCGCTCTTGTCGATCAATGTTAGCGGTCGTTCTGTATTAATGTAACTGAAGAAATCACGATCTTCACATAAACGCAACTTTTGAAGCACTTTTATAAGTCATGAGGTTATTGGAGGAATAGATGCATTACTACCTTATCTTTCAACTGTTAAATTATAAGTTGGAACTCTGTCGTACTTCATTTTGGATTACCTGCTGGTGTCAACAGCCCTCACAACGAAGGCGTGGCTCAAAGCCAAGTGTTGAAAGTTTCCCAGTCTACAATTTTGTGACGTAATTTGTCTACCAGATGCAGGTTTATGTACTTGGCTTTGAAGGATAATCTGCTTGTTTTAGGGTGATGATTCTTTCCAATCGCCCAAGGAGATTTAAGTGGGGTGCGAGTCGGTGATGTGGACTTGTGAATTCTACTTCGAGTGTGCTAACAGAATTCTCTTACGGCATGGTGGTGTACTCTTTGCTCAAATTGCACTTGACCTGTTGTTGAGTAACTAGAATTATGAGACATGCTGTACACCATTGAAATAAAATCTGAATCTGGTAGAATAGAAAGAGCCTGCGCATGCATCCAATCTTAGTTATAAGCCATTTGCATCATTGGAAAAGGTCGTATACTGACGGTGCAACAAACAAAATCAACCTGTCTAGTGAAATTCCGTTAGACTTATGCTAATCTATGCCATCTTTTACCTACTTTCCTGAGATAGTGTCTTCGAAGTTTTCTCAAACTGCTTGAAACCTTACTACCAACTAGTGACTGATTTCTTTCTTTCATGCATCGTTGGCATCATTTTTACGAGAGAATATTTACAATGGACGTTATCAATCGTACCTTTAGAAATTATACCTCACCGAGTTGTATTTAGCCTGGTTACGATTGTATAAGTGAACTAACTCCTACAATTCATAGTTTCTGCTAGGTGTACTAGTAGTAAAAACCTTATCAGCTGAAGGATATATTTTAGTTTCCTTGAATTTGAACTGTATGAAGCAATATATATATAAAATGTCCTACTATCATTTAACATATGTCCTCTCAGCAGCTGCCTAACTTCTCTCTTACAGTCTTGCCACTGCCTCCCGGGGTTCCCATGTTTGTTCCCCTTTCTCAACCTCCTGTGTCTTGTTACCATATGAATGTCGCTCACACGCAGTTGCCGCCATCAAATCCTGTTTTCATGCCTTCAAAGGCATCTAATATGTCGATCCCAACACCAAAAGTGGAAATGTCTCCCGTTTCATCAGTTAACAAAGAGACTGTTAGTGAACATAACCCAACTCAAAAAGTTATATCTGCTCCACCACAAATGGCTGGACCAAACGAGTTAGCGGCACGAGCCAAGCAAGCCGCTGCGGCGGTTGCAGCTGCCAAGTCTAAAGCTGAAGACGAAGACGATGATGTTACTCGAGCATTGCTAGCTGCGGCAGCGGGAGTTACTTATACTCGAGTTCAGGGGCCAGATGGAAAAGGCAAGTTCATTACATATGCTACGTAGACATTTTATTTAATTGTTACTAAATTATAGTGACCATTAGACTTGTAATTTTTTTGAAACTGGTGCTTACAACATACAATGATGTTATACTTTTCCACCCTCTATACAGTTTTATGAGATCAAGTTAGTGTTAATCATGAGCGTTGTCTGAAATATCATAACTCGTAATTTTATGTTTGGCTCTCACAATAAGATCTTTTTTCTAATCTTTAAATAAACTCTCATTTAATACTGTTTCTTGGCATTCCAGAAATGAAAATCTATTATCAGATTAAAACTTACTATTGTACAATTAATTACTAGACCGAAAGATAAGCGGATATATTAATGTTATTAATAGAATTAAATTCAGTATGTATCATGAGGTTTCTTCCTACATAGTTACTTAATTAGTTTTGATCAGCTAATAATAGAAGTTTCATCTGATGTCGTCATGGCTATGTAGAAAATAAGGTACTTCAAGCAAATATTCTTTATCCAATCGTATAGCCGTTTTTGATCTGATTTAATCTCGTTCAAAATATTTTAAATCGAATTTCATATAAGAAAGGTGCCCACCTTTTGTTCACTCAGTGTAATACCTTATCTTTAACATGAATAAAGACCAGAACCAGACTCGACTCACCATGCAGAAAATTTCCTACTGTCATACGTCACACTTGTCTGATCATTTTTAGTCTTGTAATTTATTAAATCATATTCATGCTCGACTCTAATGTATACGTGCATTTGTAGACTGTCTTAAAGTTAACAAGCGGGTCTGTCAAGTATCGACGATGGTTGAACAGGCTAAGGCCACTAACGTTTTGTGTTTTCCTCATATATCACGACCAAATTCTTAAAACGGTCGTTGCTGTAAACTACTTTGCTCATTTTATCAGTGGAATTTTGTGAATTTTCGCGAAATGCTGCACGACGAAAATGCCGATTTTCGGTTTCAAGAACAGCATCCTAATTTCATACTATTACTTCCTAAAACCTGCGGCAATATTAATTGTAAACTTTCCGCAAACGACTAAAACCTAACATATCCTTCCATGGGACAAGTAGAATAATTATGTTGTAGACAAATAATGTACCTTAGTCCATTGACCTTTTCAGAACTACATTCTACTGTTGTTCGTTGGTATATGTTTGTATCTCAAATTTAACATTTTCCAGAAAAGGTTTTAGCAAGTATCACTAAACCTCCGCTAACACCAGTCGTTACACAATCAAGTAAAAAATCAAAGCTAACCGATCTCAATACAGATACGGAAGTGAACAAAGTAACACAAACAACAATATTACCACCGGTACCACCTACAATTTATCGTTCTGCTAGTACAACTACAAATGATCAAGTCTATAAAAAGAAAAAATACATTCGCACAGCTGCTGGAGCCACTTGGGAAGATCCGACTTTGGTTGAATGGGATCCAAGTAAGGTGCTTATTTTATTTACCTAACTTGTAGTATACGCATTTTATTGTTTTTTTTTTGTACTCGTCAGCTTAATTTATGCAAACAGGAATGTTTGTAGCTACATGTTTATTAAATAGTTTCATCTCCACAAAGTATGTAGATAAAAACTAGTCTTATTTATCAGAATGGCTTATTTACTCAAGATAGAATTGGATTGATATAAGTCAAACATAATGCATGTACTGTAGGCAACTAATATAAAGTAACAAGTTGAAAGTCAAGTATTTTAGGGCAAACAGTCAACAAAATGTAGAATTGTAGGTAGATTTGACTAGCAGTGATTACATTCAGTGTGATGGTGTGAACAACTTTTCCTATTGGGATGTTCATGGAACGGTAACTGTGTAAATCTTTAGTGATAATGTATTCTTCGAATTATGTAAAATCCATAGAATGTTTTTGTTGAAGTCATCCACGCAAGCTACGAATATTTCACATAATCTCACACTAGAACGTATAAGTCTACCAAAAAACTATCTAAGGAAGTTTTATTTGTTGGTTGTGTGACTAGATTTGATCAGAAATTGAGTACCGAGCTTATGGAAGATATTACTTACTTACGCCTGTTACTCGTGAAGGAGCATAGGCCGCTCACCAGCACTCTCCATCCAACCCTGCCCTGGACAATCCTTTCCAGCTCTTCCCAGTTGTTATTCATCCTTTTCATATCTGCCTCGATTTCCCGACGTAATGTGTTCTTTGGCCTTCCTCTTTTACGCTTCCCTTCAGGATTACAAGTTGGGGCTTGCCTCGTGATGCAGTTCGATGATTTGCGTAATGTATGTCCTATCCATCTCCATCGTCTTTTCCTAATTTCCTTTTCAGTTGGAAGCTGGTGTGTTCTCTTTCACAGAAGGCTGTTGTTGATGGTATCCGGCCAATGAATGTTGAGTATCCTGCGTAGACAGCTATTTATAAATACTTGTACCTTCTTGATGGTGGTTGTTGTAGTTCTCCAAGTTTCAGCTCCGTACAGTAGAACTGACTGCCTTGACGTTGGTATTGAAGATTCTGACTTTGATATTGGTTGAAAGTTGTTTTGAGTTCCATATGTTTTTCAATTGTAGGGATGCGGCCCTTGCTTTGCCAATCCTCGCCTTTACGTCTGCATCTGAACCTCCTTGTTAATCGATGATGCTTCCCAGGTATGTGAAGGATTCTATATCTTCCAGAGTTTCGCCATCAAGAGTGATTGGATTGCTGTTCTTCTTGGTTTTCCCCTTGTGTGTGTTGAGGCCTACTGATGCAGAGACTGCTGCTACGTTGACTGTTTTTATCTGCATTTGTTCATGTGTATGCGATAGGAGTGCTAGGTCATCTGCGAAGTCCAAACCGTCTAATTGGTTCTGAGCTGTCCATTGTATGCCGTGTTTTCCCTCAGATGTCGAGGTCTTCATAATCCAGTCGACCACCAGAAGAAAGAGGGAGGGAGAGAGTAGACAGCCTTGTCTGGCTCCGGTCCTTACTTGGAATGCGTCTGTCAGCTGTCCTCCATGCACTAATTTGCACTATAGTCAGTCGTTGACAATCTTCTCAAGAACTCCGTGTTGAAGAAGTTTCCATAAGGTTCCCCTATCTACACTGTCAAATGCTTTTTCATAACCAATGAAGTTGATGTACAGTGACGAGTTCCACTCAATTGATTGTTCGACGATGATCCGTAGTGTCGCTATTTGGTCTGTGCACAACCGATCCCTCCGGAATCCAGCTTGTTGATCTCAAAGTTGGACGTTTACTGCGTCTCATCCGGTTTAGCAACATTCTATTAGAGACTTTCCCTGGTACTGACAGTAGTGTAATGCCTCTGTAGTTTTCACATTTGCTTAGATCTCCTTTCTTTGGAATCTTGATGAGGTGTCCTTCTTTCTAGTCCATCGGCACTTGTTCCTCATCCCAAATCTTTTTGAATAGAAGGTAAGGCATGTTTGTAGTTACTTCGATGTCTGACTTCAGCTGATATGTTGTCGGGTTCTGCTGCTTTCCCGTTCTTGATTTGTCTGATGGCCATTCTGATTTCTTCCGTCGTTGGTGGATTGACACCTATTGGAAGATCTGTGTGTGCTGCTTCGATGTCTGGTGGATTTATTGGAGCCGGCCTATTCAGGAGTTCCTCGAAGTACTTTACCCATCTGTTCTTCTGTTGTTGAATTTCAGTGATTGGCCTGCCTTCTTTGTCTTTGACCGGTCTCTCTGGTTTACTATATTTCCCTGCTAGTTCCTTCGTTGTAACGTAAAGCTGTTTCATATTTCTTTCTCTTGCAGCTTTTTCCGCCATCGATGCTAGTTCTTCCATGTATTTCTGCTTGTCGGCTCTAGTGCTCTTCTTCACTTGCTTGTTTGCTTCTGTGTACTCAGCTTGTGCTTGGACTTTCTCTGCTCGTGTTCGGCTGTTGTTAATTGCTGTCTTCTTGTTCTTTCTTTCTTTGATCCTGTCCAGTGTTTCTATAGAGATCGATTCCTTATGATGATGCTTCTTGAGGGCCAGAACCTCCTGACAAGTTGAAATTAATGCTTCTTTGATACTTTTCGAGTTGTCCTCCATAGTAGTTTCTTCTTCTTTCAGTAGATCCTGTAAGGCTTGGAACCTGTTTTTGAGAGCTATCTTGAATTCATTGAGTTTGACAGTATCTCGAAGGAAGGCTGTATTGAACCTTTGTAGTGATGATTGTCCAGTTCTTCTTTAGCTTCGGTATTAAGTTGACCACAACTAGGTGGTGATCTGAAGCTGTCAGCTCCTCTTTTGGTTCTCACATCTTCCATTGTCCTTCGGAACTTTTTATTGATGCAAATATGATCTATCTGGATCCCTGTGGTGTGGTCCGGTGAGATCCATGTAGCTTTATGTATACGTTTGTGTGGAAATATTGTTCCGCCTATGACCAATTTATTGCAAATCTTTCCCCATTTTCGTTTCTCTTTCCCAGTCAATCCATGTCGTCCCATGATATCTTCATATCCGGTGTTGTCTATTCCGACTTTGGCGTTTAGATCTCCCATCAGAATGGTGAGGTCCTTTCTTGGGCACTTCTCTATGATTGATTGCAGCCGCTCATAGAATTGATCTTTAATGTCGTCGTCGTTATCATTGGTGGGTGCATAACATTGGTATCGGCCTCGTGGCTTCCGAAGGAACTCGGCTTTCACCATGAGGCGTCATAGTTCTTCTAAATGAAGACCTAACTCCCAGGGCAGAGTTTAAATGGTTTGAATTATTTATTCTGGTTAGCGTTTTTTAGCGAGTTAGTTTTCTACTGGATGGGGTCGCTAACCCCCATGTCCAACCCTCCTCCTCTACCCGGGCTTGGGACCGGCAGTAACTCTAGAAGAGCTGCAGGTGGAGTTATGGTAGATGTTTTTCGTAAAATTCATGTTAGTAATAATCTCAGCGATTGAAAGAATTTATGGCATCCTGCAACTAAATCTACACCAATATTTTATCGAATAATGTTCAGATGTTGATTTTAGTGAATAGAAAAAATGAGTCAATAGGATGTGAGTAGTGTGAACAGTTTTATGGGGATTAGAACTATTCGAATTATTGTGCTAAGAATTTCCGAAATAGTGTAATTTAAGGCAGGTAAATTTAGGTGAGCACAAATGAACGTATTATATTTGGGATTCGTAATTAACGCGCAGTCAAGTACAAAGGAATCATCATTTAGTAAACACTACAAGTTCACAAGGTGAAAAAGAATGAGTGTGTACGTGCACGTTGTTAATAGTTGAGGTTTGGTTTAAAAATATCCAGCCTGTCTACTACTGACGATAATTTTTTTTATTGAAAGCAGGGATAAGCGAATGAGTTTAAAACCCACTACCTATCTGAGAAGATAAAGAACACTAGCAATTTGTAGGACGACTTGTCATCTAGCGAATAAATTTGTTCTTCATTTGGCTTCCAGATGACTTCCGATTATTTTGTGGGGATTTGGGAAATGAAGTGACAGATGATACTCTAGCACGAGCATTTAACCGCTACCCTTCCTTTCAAAAAGCAAAAGTTGTTCGAGACAAACGTACCAGTAAATCTCGTGGTTATGGTTTCGTTAGCTTTTCTGATCCTGGAGATTTCACACGTGCCATGCGAGAAATGAATGGTAAGTTATAATCTACTTTTACTAAGCTATATACAAAATTGTCTGCTCTGTCCGATTACTTATCTTGATCAATCGAATAAAACGAGATTTTGCTTGTAGTTCCGTACCAATTAATAGATACTAAATCACAAATAACTTCGAAGGTGAAACATAATTTGGTTGTTTTCTTTAGTAGATATAGGATGATAAAATCTAGAAAAACCTCTTTATTATTGGAATCCATTGTCGAACTCTGTACAAGTAAAAAACTGCATATGATTTTGACCATGTGTAGTATAAACTTGTGGTTTGTTTATTTAATAACAGAGAGGTGCTTTCTACAGCTATTACCGTTATCTCACCGACGATGTTTTTTGTCTTATCGACTCAGTAAATACAGCTCATTTGGATGTTACTCAGAACGAACATGACTTGGAAAGATGACACGTCACACAAATGCCGACCCGTATAACTGCACTTCACAGAAGCAGAATGAGTGTCTTAAAGACCACTACAGATTAAAGATTCCTGATATTTAGACAAAAGAATACACCTGGGTTCTTGTGATCTATTTCAGCCAGTCTCCTAACGCCAATAGTGATATAAAGCAAATCGGACTTTTATCCCAAAACATTACTTATGAAATTCCAATTAGAGTAACCAGACTTTTAATACTCTCCCATCAAAACCAATTTATCAAACTCCAATTTTATTTTCGATAGGAATTACAGGATGTGATGATTGCAGAAAAGACTGGATAAAAAGATATTGGATGCGTTTGTGGAATATAAGCTATACGACGGTAACTGAAGGAATTCACATTATTTGTCACTACACGAATTCAATCAGTCATAAATAACGTAAGAACTGTGGCGCATGCTCACCACCCCAAATTACTAGACGACATTAGTACAAAACCATACAAATTACTCCATCTAAAGAATCAGCATTTATTTTATTTTATTTGGACACATAAATATTGGTACAAAGAAGTACCAGATAATATGCGCCGCACAATTATAGTGAGAATGTGAAGAGATAAAGAATGGGAGGTGCGTAAAAGAACAAAGAAGTAAGACAATGAATGGAAATTAGTGTATGATAGTGAAATAGAAATAAAGGGAGAGGAAGTTCAGCCACAGCGAATTCTTCCACATAAGGTAATTACGTCCTTTTTCATATGAAGAAAGTAAAAGAAGGTTGCAACAAAATCGCCACTGGCTTCTATTCTGAATCATGTCTGATGACGTCTCAAGCCACTGTGTTGCACCATCTCTAGAACCCCAACCAGGGAGTCGTGAAGGACCAAGAGAGGCCAGTCATGTACAGCTTTTCTTCATACCACGACACCATGTCATACATTGATCACCTATCCGCTCCTTCCAACCAGTCCCAGCGTCCGCAAATAATGCAAGACATGAAATCCTCCGGGACGACATTCGTAAAACATGTCCAAGCCACCGAAGTCGATGTTTCAAGATAGTGACACTAATTGAACTATCGTCACTGTGCCCGAACGCACGATTTTGCCACTAGACGTGACCAATCCTTCAGAGACAACGATGATCAAACACCGAGTCTTCTAAAATTCTCAGCTCGGAAAGACCATGTTTCACAAGCATAGAGCAGAACTGCTCTCTCCAACGCGTTGTAGATCCGAACTTTTACAGCCAGACTAACATCACGAAGGCATCAAAGATGGTCCAGATTGGCATAAGCCTCTCTGGCTTTCACTATACATGCATTGATCTCATCACTCACGCCACCACCAGCACTTATTATTTATTTTAACACATAGACATTGGTACAAGGAGGCACCAAATACATATGCGCCACACAAATCTCATTCGATATGTGTGAGGGCTGTGATACTGCACGGGTGCCCAAACCGAAGCAGGTACCAGCACTTATGCAGCTACCTAGATATACGGACTTCTCGACTACTTCTATCTGATCACCATCCAGGGTGAGTACAGGATTAGAATCCTGCCAGTCTTGTAGAAGTACTTTGCACTTCAAAGGTGCAAAGCATATACCGTACCCATGGACACTAATTGCGGATTGCATGGCTTGGGCATTATCGCACAGTAAGACAATATCATCCGCATGCTTAAGGTCGAGATTTTCTTCAAACAATAGATCCACGCCGCCACTACCTACATTCATCAGAGATGTTTCCAGAACGTTATTGACAGAAAAGTTGAAGGGAATGACGAGATTGAGCAAGTTTGCCTAACTTCACCGAATGAATGAAGCAACGATTGTCGACACATGTAGAGTTTATAAAGTATCAAATAAGTTCTCACGAGCGGAGACGGTATATACTGTTTGTTTGTACGATACTCTCGAAAGATACTCCGATATGCTACGCCAACATAAACACCTTACAGTTGAATGATTAGTTTATAGAGGCACATATGTTATCACATTTGCAAAACTTGCAATGAAACGGGACTCTAACCAAGTAAATATATTTCCCGCACCACTTCGTAGCAACCGGGTTGTCAATATACCTTTTTTTCTAGTAGTGAGTGGGATGAAAATACCTAGGTTCCACACATTGTTCTTTAGTTATGTGCAGTTTCTTCTAAATATCCATTTTACTTGGGCGGAAACTATGAGTCAATGTGTTTTACAGTTTCTATGTTATTTAATACTACTTTTGATGACTGTGAGGTACACTTCTGAACAAAACGCATCTGTATGCTTCGTTTTAGCCCTAATTCTCGCTTTGCTCATGAGATAGCATGGAACCCCTTGTTACAAAAATCTTTTCGACTGATTGTTTGGGATATTTATGTCACTAAGAGAGCAAAGTTCTCGAAGTACGCCTGTAGGAAAAATCGCAATATGAGTTGTTAGAAACTTGCAACCATATAAAAGTTTGAAGCAACATCTTATTTTTCTGATAAAGGCATGCTGTCAATATCTTATAACATTATGGTTTCTGAAACCTGTTTTAGGTAAATATGTTGGTAATCGTCCGATCAAACTGAAAAAAAGCGAGTGGCGTAATCGTCAACTGGAAGTCCATAGAAAAAAGGAGAAAGAAAAACGGAAACTTGGTTTGAAAAACTGATATTTTTAACCGAGGTCTATTAAATTTATCCTGTGAATATTTTCCTACTTTTGAAATACAAAGCCTCAAGATAATCATAGCACTTCCCAGTATTATTTCTATACTTGTTGGAATTAAAACCTTCAACAAGTCGTTGTCCTTTTTATGCTGATGGAATTTACTAGACCAGACGAGTTTTGTTATACGTTATATTCTGAGGCATTAGAGATTATAAGATTGAAGGTTTTTAGAAGGAACTTCATAATCGAGAGACATGTAGGTTGTTTCTACTTAAACAGTTTATGGTGTTTGTGGTGATAGGACCAACTCTTCAATGACCAGCATAAATTTATAACTGCTAGTTGGTGCTCACATTTACTTTTCTATCAGAGTAAACATGTGTAGTTTATCATCACGGCTATTAAAATAAGTGGTAGTAGAAAGCGTTCTATGTTGTCACACGTAACCACTACAACGTTTTGATGATTTGTTTATTTATTACACAAACACAAACATTGGTTCAAGTCATCACCATATATATATGCGCCATACAAATCATTCGATTTGTGTGAGGACTGGGATACTGCCCGGACACCCAAATCGAAATAGGGGGTTTTCTTAGGGGTTCACTCCTTGAACCTTTGACCTACAGGTCTAATCCACAAGACAGTGGAGCAACGTTGGGAGATGCAGTCCCATGGTAGCCGGTGATCAACAGTAGGTTCATATGCCGTTTGTTCGCTCAGGATCCTAGAGCCCATGTGCACCAATGGTTTTTCAACTCCCCTAGGTGGATCCTCCGTATCCACCAACCCGGTTAGAGCGTCGGACATTCGCCTTTTTTCCTCTCAATTTCGCAAACATTATCTTTGCCTTGAGAATAAAGTGAGTAGGACTTCCTTGTCAGTGGTTGTATACGCGTGGCCATGTGAGAGCATCTCGAGAGGGATAGTTGACTCTAAGCACCTTCGGCCGGACTAGGGCTTTTGGGGGCCAAGCGACACTCAATGGAGATGATAATAACAGTAATCAACTATGATTCAAGATCGGCATCCTTTCTACTTTGTACTTACAAACACGGAACGTAAGATGCCCAGTTTCAGGCGTGTAGTTTACACTTAGTGTGGCTCTTTAGAGTGTACTTGAGGAACTTGTAGTGTCAGTTATTATGCCAAGCCCATATACCTCATTCAAGCTTTCGGACATCCCATTCTATTCATTTTACTTGAGCCATACATTGACCTTGTTATTTATTCGCTTATCAATCTAGACTGTTCTTATATGAGCGTATATGTATGTGCCCTTCTTATTCCATTAATCACATGTCTGTAGCTTTATTTTGTCTGACTATAAATATTGAGTAATGTCTGGCTTGAAATGGAGTTGGCTTCCCAGCCATCTTCCATACGTGTCATTTTTGCTTTGCTATGCTTCATTCGCTTCATGTACGAAATATATGTATTCTCAAGTCAATTCTCGTTATTCGACTTATTTAATTCCGTTATTGGATAACGCGATTTAAGTCGACGATTATATACGAGAATAGGCGATGCCAATCATTCATACAATATAAAATGGAGTCAGATCAACGGGCCACAAAAAAACTCTTGATGAGTATATTCTACTTATTAGTTGTTATATTCTGTAGGATGGTGGAAAATTATATATAGAGAGGATGTACTACCACGATCTCTCTTCACTAGCTACGTATCATTTACCAAGTACCTAGAAATTCTCCACCCTCTAATCTATACAGCTACTTCATTCGCAAGTAATCATTGCGTGAGCATCTGCAAAATTCCAAGGGATTTCGCATAATGTTCTGAACATTTTTCCAGTAATGAATTCAGAAAAACTTAGCATCTATCTTGATATGGCACACGAGAAAATCAATGCTAAACTACTATGCCTTTTGGAACCAGCTTATATGGGAGCAGAGACTACTTCAAAAGCGACTATAGTTCATAAATTTCATAAGAAAACATATCGATTTAAGATGGTGTATATCTTAACCTCACATGTAGAAAATTAATAAACTAAGTAACGTCGTGGTTTAACAATCCAAAAATGAATAGAGTAAAGTGACACGAAATATCTCAAGGTACTTGTGAAGTAGGTGTATACATTGAGTTCGTTTTCAACCACACTAGTGCAGCCTTCAGTCACTTTTATATAATCGCAACAACCACAAAACTAAACGGCAGTATGAGGTTTCATATATCTGTGCCATATATGTTATCCCTATCACTTTTTTTCAGTCTAATTATATGTAATTTAGTGTAACAATTGGCTAAGTCAATTTAAAAACGGACTTGGCACGCGAAAAAACAGTAACCAGTTACAAACTTAGAAATTTAATTAAAAATCAACAAGGTTTTTTAATCTGTTTTTAATCGCTTTTTGTTAGCGATTTGCAATCGTTTACATTGAATTATTAAACTGTTGATCTGTAAAACAAGGAGTAGCTAATGTGAAAAGTAAATAGGAATAAGTGAACTTACAACAATTAGTAGACTGTTTAAAATAACAGGAATGTTCCAAATACAAGATATGAAATATCCATAACTATCAAAATATTGCTCAGTAGCGAACAAGCTAGAAAGGTTAAAATACTTGCAAAAGATTTTTACTTCCAGTTATTAGCAGCGAATTCATTAATCCGGTGTGAAAACCAAACAGTACCAACTATGTCATAAACAATTATACATGAAACCTTACGGGAAATAAGCAAAATACACAGCAACAAATTTGTACACTTGCGGAAAGCAATTACACATACGGATGTGAGAAAATGAAATCCAATTAGTGAAACTAACCATAGTTCACTGGTCCATGGTATCTAAGTAGAAAATCATAATATGAAATTTACAGACCGATAATATAGTACCGTAGATAGTATTTACAGTAGGGTTGGTTGTAATGTCGAGGGATTGAAAACTGAAGTTCATCTGTTATAATTGGACAGAACCCTTAGATCTGCAAATGTCTAAAGATTGAGGATAATGTAAACGGTGAGAATCATAATTCAGTAGTTACATACACGTGTCAAAAATTTGTACAAGATAAGTTAAAATAACCATATTGACAGTGGTGGGGAACCGAAAGGGAATAAGTGATGACAAGTACTACTTAGCACTATGTTCGGACAACATGGTTTCAGAAAGAGCTTGTCTTGCACAACAAACCTCCTTATAGCAAGGGAATCTTGGATAAGGGCGCTAGACAACGGAAACTCAGTGGATGTTGTCTACATAGACTTTAGTAAGGCATTTGACAAGGTGCCAACAAATAGACTGCTATTGAAGTTAGAGAATTTTGGTATTGGCGGACCTCTCATAAAGTGGTTTAAGGATTTCCTAGTAGGTAGTAGACAGGAAGTAAGAATAAATTCCAAGTGCTATACCTGAAGATCAGTATTTAGTGGAGTACCTCAAGGTTCTGTCCTAAATCCTTTACTTTTTATACTGTATGTAAATGACCTTTCAAGTATAGTACTGTCTCCAATGTTATTATACGCTGACGATGTAAAAATCTGGTGAGTTATAACCGGAGACGCAGATGCATGCGCACTTCAGGTAGACTTAAATAATGTGATTAACTAGTATAGAGAGTGGTTGATGCCTATCAACGCGGCAGTGTGTACATGCACTTCGGGGATACATAGATTAATAGGTACAGCATAGGGGAAGTGTCTGTACCCATGGTCCGGTCTTGTGGGTTAGACCTTTAGGTCAAAGGCTCGGGGAGTGGCCCCCTAAGAAAACCACCTGCTTCGGTTTGGGCACCCGGGCAGTATCACAGCCCACACACAAATGATGAACTCTTTATGTCTATGGAAATTACTTTTGTCGCTTTGAAAAACAATCAATTGATTCAAATTATGATCACTACAATTATTGTCATTATTAATACTAATATTATTATTACTACTATTATTGTCATTATTGTTATTATCATCATTATTATTATTATTTTCCACATTATTCACCCTCTTTTATACTTATACAGCGGCTCGTCTTTGGTGGAATTCCGACTGTATCTAAACGTTCTCGAGTCACTGTCCGGTTGAAAATTGTATGTTACCACCGAATACGAGGACTGAAGCAGATTTTCTGAAACCACGTACATCATTCAAACTGGCTGCCTTCAACGTTCGCACATTTATGCAGGTCGGACAACAGATAGGGCTGGCTATGTCTTTGGAAAGTCTTAATATCGACGTGTGTTGTCTATCCGAGACCCGTATTCAAGACTCTGGCGAAGTACTACAAATTCGATCTCCATCTGTCGCTTCGAAAAGCTTGTTTTACGTGCGCTTATCCGGGGACCCTGTGGCATCTTCGTCTGGTCTTGCTGGCGTTGGTGTCGCAATAAGCGCTAGAGCTGAGGCAGCACTAGTCGATTGGATCCCCATTAACAGTCGGTTATGTGCTGTTAGATTAGAAAGTTCCATCAAAGTGAGAAGAAATCGGCGTGAGAAAAGATGTCTTTTCGTCATCTCCGCCTATGCCCCGACAGATTGCAGCCCGGATGCAATCAAGGATGAGTTTTACCACCAGTTATCAGTTCTTCTCCAGAAAGTGCGTTCGACAGATATTGTAGTACTAGCCGGAGACTTGAATGCTCAGGTCGGGCGTCTAGGCACAGAAGAGAGTCGTTTAGGTGGCCGATGGGGACTCGTTGGTCGCAGGTCAGATAACGGGGACCGTCTACTGCAACTGTGCACAGACCACAACCTGTTTCTGGCTAGCACTAACTTTCGGCACAGTCATCGCCGATGTGCCACCTGGCGTCCTCCCTCTGCATCTCAAGCCTGGACTCAGATTGATCACATTGCGATCAGCTACCGCTGGCGTGGTTGTGTACAAGACTGCCGCTCCTTTTGGAGTACCTATCTGGACTCTGACCATGCCTTGGTCTGCGCCAATCTTGCCTTACTTTTCAGTGAACAACGAAGTGAACGCCATCAACGGATTGATGTTAGCAAGCTGGTTGCAACTTCTGTTGCAAGTAAGTATCGAACCGAGCTAGCCTCTAGGCTAGCTACCACTCCACCGAAAAGTATAGATGAGCATTGGTTGCAATTGCGTGACGCCATGAAAA